TGTGCTAGGAAGTCTATGGTAGCATAGAGTAGCATCCCCAGTCCAGAATTTATTCGAAGTGAATTTCATTTCTGATATCAAGGAAATAATTGATATGATGAAGCCACAAATAAATGGCAAGATAATATATCTGAAAAGTTTTTTATGTATGTCCATCATGGGACTTGAACTCTGGGCCTGGATGCTGTCCTTGAGCTCTTCTGTTCAAGGCTAGAGCTCACCACTTGAGCCATAGCTGGACTTCCAGTTTCCTGGTGATTAATTGGAGATAAGAGTCACGGACTTTCCTGCCCTGGCTGGCTTTGAACCCCAATCCTCAGATCTTAGCCTTTTTAGTAGCTAGGATTACAGAGTGAGCCTCAGGCACCCAGCTCTGAAAAAATTTTATGATCTAATATAGTATGATAGTAGCATACAAGTTTGAGGTCTTTCCTTCAGAAAACAGTAACTGGAAATGTGGCTTAGTGGTAGAGGCTTGCCTAGCATGCATGAAGACCCAAGTTCAATTCCTCAGTACTACATCAACGGAAAAAGCCAGAAATAGCACTGTGTCTTAAGTGGTAGAGTGCTAGCCTTGAGCACAGAGCTCAGGGACACTGCACAGGCCCTGAGTTCAAGCCCTGGGACTGGAAAAAAAATCAGAAAACAGCAAAATGTTTATAAATCCAGGTGCTGGTGGCTCACACCTATAATCTTATCTACTTTGGAGGCTGAGATCTGAGGATCACCATTCAAAGCCAGCCTGGGCAGGAAAGTCCATGAGACTCTTATCTCCAATTAACCACCAGAAAACTAGAAGTGATGCTGTGGCTCAAGTGGTAGAATGCTCACTGAGCTGAAGAGCTCAGGGACAGGATCTAAGCCCAGAGTTCAAGTCCTGTGACCGAAAAAAATTATGAAAGGCAGATAGTATTTTACTGGGGATTTTATATTATTTGTGAGTGTATACTCTTAACATGTCAGAATTTTATCTATGCCCTTATCTTGCAGTATGTGTGCAATAACGTGGAACAAAGTGAGAAACAAATAGATAAACTCATAAATGAGATAAATAGATTAAAAGAAGAAATTGGAAAAAAGCAAGCACAGATGCAAGCATCAAGTAAGTAAAACCTGAATACATGACCCCATAGTGCCTTCCATGTCTCGTTGTTTTTCTAATGTTTAGTGAACCAGCTAATTGTGTGCATATATGTATTTGCCCACCTGGGGACTAAAAGGATCATTTTGTCAGTGCTTTTCACGTTCACTCAACAGAGAACATGGTTCTATAGCAAGCAAGCAGCGTTTGTTCATATTATAGCACAAAACTTTAATTTCCTCTTAGAATCCTGTGGCAACCTGGGCATCAGTGGCTCACGCGTGTAATCCTAGCTACTAAGGAGGCTGAGATCTGAGGATCGCGGCTCAGAGCCAGCAAGGGCACGAAAGTCTGTGAGACTCTTATCTCCAATAAACCACTAGAAAACTGGAAGTGGTGCTGTGGCTTAAGTGGTAGAGTACTTGCCTTGAGCTGAAGAGCTCAGGTCAGTGCCCAGGCCCAGAGTTCAAGCCCCATGAACAATAATAACAAAAAAAAGAATCCTGTGGCATATATATAAAAAGGAATGTAGGATGATGTCATTAATGCTCACTTTTTTGGGGGGGGGGGTCCGGTTGTGGGGGCCTAAATTCTGGGCCTGGGCGCTGTCCCTCAGCTCTTAGCGCTCTACCACTTGAGCCACAGCGCCACTTCCGGCTTTTTTCTTTTTGTTTATGTGGTACTGAGGAATCGAACCCAGGGCCTCATGCATGCAAGGCAAGCACTCTACCACTGAGCCACCTTCCCAGCCCCATCATTACGCTCACTTTGAATAACTGGATATGCTTGTTGAAAGGTATTTGTGTTAAATGACATATAGCTAATTATAAAAACTTTGTGGAGGGCTGGGAAGGTGGCTCAGTGGTAGAGCGCTTGCCTTGCATGCATGAGGCCCTGGGTTCAATTCCTCAGCACCATATAAGCAAAAAGAAAAAAGGCCCGAAGTGGCGCTGTGGCTCAAGTGCTAGCCTTGAGCTGAAGAGCTGAGGGACAGCGCCCAGGCCCAGAGTTCAGGCCCCACAACCAGACCCAAAAAAAAAATTAAAAAAAATAAAAACTTTGTGGAATGTTGAGCTGTTACTTTGTTTTGTTTAGGAGAGAAAACCCCAGAAGACCAGCGGGAGAACATTTTTCTTTATCAAGCTTTACGGACCTTTCTTCCAGATTGTGAACTTCTTCATTCTTGTATTATCTCCTTGACAAATGGGCAGATTTTTAAAAGCAGATGTAGTACTGACCACCAACTTCATGTGGTAGACAACCTGACCTTAATGGTTCCACACACTCCCACCCCTAGAGCTAGTCCAGTTAGCTCACCACAGGTGACTAAGCGGACAGCTGCTGCAGAGACAGATGGAAACCTAAAAAAGAGATCACGGCTGTTGGAGACAGAAAGCAACCTGTCAAAGACGGACACTGACAATGAGAAGCAGGAAAGAAAATTCACATCCAGCAGCTCAGACACAGATGAAGACATTGAGAAAATGAAGGGCTATGAGGAATATCCTCAGTCTCCCACATTTTGATCCTGTTAATCTACAATCACATTTTTTTTTTGGATTGGCTGAATGAAGAAAGTTAAATGTTTATTTTTACTGCAGCCAGTAAAATTGCAGTAATACATGGAAAGCTTGTTTGTTTTTACTAAGAAGCTACTTATAAATAGAAAAAGTTTTATTTTTACTATGTTCACTTCTTAAAGACGATCAACAATTTTTATAAAGTACTTTTAAAATACAAGATACTTCTTATCTATTTATTCATTCCTTTATTTATTTTGGTGCTAGAGACTGAACCAGGACCTTATGGTCCTAGGTAAGTGTTCTATCACTAAGCTATGCTTCTATTCCAAGACACTTTTACTTTAAAAACACTTTTTACCTTTCTACAGGAGTGAGGGAAAAAATTACATGCATAAGTTTTTAAACTTGTTACTGATGTCTGGAACTGGAAGTTTTAACTGTGGAAACATGAAAGTTTACATTAGAATTTATTTTTATCTAAGTCATTTAAAATTCCTATTACTTCAGTGATGGCACATTAAAGTGGGCACAATGGTGTGTAGTAGTCCCAGCTACTTGGGAAACAGCCTGGAGGATTGCATTAGTACAGGAGTAGGTGGCCAGCCTAAGCAACATAATGAGACCCCACTGCAAAAATGTACAAAAATCAAAAGAAATTTACTGTATGTACAAAAAAATTGTCTTTCCTACTTTCTGTGTGGCTTCCTCACACAGGAAGCCTTGTTTATTCACTCATTGGAGATAATGCTGATGAACACTTGTCTTTGCAAGACAATCCTCCCCCACCCCCAAGTACTGGCGTTTTTTGGGTTTTTTTTAGGGGGTCCGGTCGTGGGCCTGAACTCTGGGCCTGGGTGCTGTCCCTCAGCTCTTCAGCTCAAGGCTAGCACTCTACCACTTGAGCCACAGCGCCACTTCCAGCTTTTTTTTTTCTGCTTATGTGGTGCTGAGGAATCGAATCCAGGGCCTCTGGCATGCAAGGCAAGCGCTCTACCACTGAGCCACCTTCCCAGCCCCAAGTACTGGGGAGTTTGACCTCTGGGTATTAAGCTTGCTAGGCTGGCATTATAACACTGAGCCCTATCTCCACCCTTGTTTTTCACTAGTCTGCTTTTAGGTTTCCAGTGTCCCTGGGATCACAGGCATGTACCACTGTTCAGCTTCCTTCATGTGGAGATGAGAGTCTACAGACTTTTCTGCCCAGGCTGGCCCATCAGCACAAGCCTGCCAATCTCAGCTTCCCAGTTAGCTTGAGATGACAGGCACACTTTATCACACCCATCTATGGACATCTATGAAGAGTCTCGAAAATTTCTGCCTGGGCTGGCAGGGAACCATGATCCATTCTCAGCCTTCGTAGTAGCTAGAATTATACAGATGTGAGCCAGACTATTATAATAACATTCTGATACAATTTTCAAAGATTAACATGCATTAATCATCATGGGGTGTTCCTGAAGCCACAAAATACCCAGAGGTGACTTATGAAATTTGCAGGGTTGTATTGTGCTGGAAACACACATAACTACTGGACGAGATAGCATGGGGAGGAGAACTAAGGTTGTCAGTTGGCGCCTATTTATATCACTGGAGAAATAGGATGTATAATAGGTTATACATCATCCTGTGTAATAAAAAAGACTATCAATTTAGGAGTAGAGTAAGGGAATACCTAGAATTCTACTTCAAGCCATTCCTTCCTTCTATATTTCCTAGTCTACTATCAAATGGTATATGATTGTTGGGGCCAGATCATATATTACTCTCATGCAAAGTATGGACAATGAGGGAGGCATCAGTGGCTCAAGCTGTAATCCTAGCTACTTAAGAGGCTGAGATCTCAGGATGGTCATTTAAAGCCAGCCCTCGCAGGGAATTCCATAAGACTTTTTTTGTTGTTGTTGTTTTTTGGGTTTTTTTTGGGTCCGGTCGTGGGACTTGAACTCTGGGCCTGGGCGCTGTCCCTCAGCTCTTCAGCTCACCGCTAGTGCTCTACCACTTGAGCCACAGCGCCACTTCTGGCTTTTTTTTTTTTTTTGCTTATGTGGTGCTGAGGAATCGAACCCAGGGCCTCAGGCATGCAAGCCAAGCGCTCTACCACTGAGCCATCTTCCCAGCCCTTCCATAAGACTCTTATCTCTAATTAACCACCAGAAACTGGAAGTGGAGCTGTGGCTCAAAGTGGTAAAGTGCTAGCCTTGAGCAAAAGAGCTCAGGGTTAGCACCTAGGTCCTGAATTCAAGTCCCACTGCTGACAAAAAAAAAAAAAATGAGTATTTTGATTAAGTGATTTTCAGAGAACATTCATTGGTATGGAGAAGTTTCACCACTTCTAATCTCAATCCTGAAACACTTTTCTGCCCAAAAGTTAGTCTGAATCAACACTGACATAAAACTTCTTATTATAAAAGAATTTATTGGCAATAACTTCATTATTCATTCTCAATATCGGATGTTACAAATTTTGGGGTCCTTGAGATAAGCAGGATCCTTGTATGTAACTGGCATAAATCCTGAAAAGAGATAATTAAAGTCCTTCACAGAAAATAGGCAAAATTTTGACTAGTACAACCCAGTTAATAATTAAGTACACTTACCCATGATTTGAGCTCTTTTAATTGCTTTGGTTATTTCTTTCTGTTTCTTCCCACAAAGACCTATAAAATTTTGAAAAAAATACTTTATTATTTGTAAGAAAATACCAGTATTCAAATTTGTAACTATTTTCAAAGTTAAAGGTTGGTAATTTTTTTTTTCTGAGAAGGCCAAAATAGTTACTATTTTGGGCATACAAACAAGTCACAACTGCTCCATTTTGCTATTGCAGCTCAAGAGAAACCAGATGGCACTATATAAGCAAACTAGAAGAACAAGTAATAAGCAACAAGCTAGATATGGTCTATTCATGGGCCACAGTTTACTGACCCAAGTTTTAGTCTAAGGATGATTATGTGTGAAATATACACTTCATTTATAATGTGTGTACATCTTAAACACCATGTATTTTAGAAACACAGGATTAGACTTCGGGTCCTGCACTTGCTAAATAGGTGCTAAATGGTGCACACCATTTGAGTCACATACCTTGTACTTTTTTTGCTTTAGTTATTTTTCCCAAAAGACTGAAGTTTGTTGTAGGGGCTAGCCTTAGACTATGATCCTAACTATAGCCTTTTATGTAGCTGAGTTGACACACATGTACCACGATGCTGCCTGACTTATTGGTTGAGCTGTGGTCTCATCTCAATTTTTTTGCCTCAGCTGGACTTGAACCACATTCTTCCCAATATCTGCTCCAGAGTACGTAGTATTATAGGCATGAGTGACCATACCCAGTTCCACATTTTTATACGTTGCAAACCTATAGTGAGGTCTGAGCATAAAAAGACATACAAAATGATAACTCTTTGGGTTGTCATATAAATTTCTTTTTAAAGAAACATCTCTAAGTACAAAATCCAGCTCCTGTAGCATATAGTCTAGAATGATATATAGCAATGATAGTAGACAGATATAATTCTTGTTTACATTGAAATTACTATAATTAAAAAAAAAGTAATACCTGTTATATTCCTTCCATAAATGCATCCAGTAAATGGAGAAATAAATTGAGACAAAAGCTGGGTATTTTTGAGGAAAAAAAATTACAGTTATTCGGTGAATATATATATTTAAAAACAAAAACCTTACACAAGACTTTTAATTCACAAAAACATGTTTCTGACAAATTTTGTATGAGATAAAATATCCTATTAAATATTATCAAAAGTTGACATCCAGTGTATCAAAAACATCTATACTATCAAATAACAGGTTAATCAGCTTATTTATTCAGTGCTAAAACTAGTTTTTTGATTTCCACAAATACCTAAAACCACTGTTTCTAAAAACTTACTAAAATGCAGCATCTGTCAGGACACGTTGCCACATTGTCATGAAGTTAAGTAGGACTACAGTGAGGCCATAGGAGGTATAGATACATTGGGTGACTTGTTATATTGATATAATTTATCTATTTTTAAAAAATTTTTGTGTGCTGATGTTAGGATTTGAACTCAACTGCTCACATTATTATTGATTTTGACATGTTAGCACTATCTTGGTGCTGGGTCGTTCTTGACCTTCTTTCTCCTGTGTTGCATTTTATAATTTCCTGGACTTTCTCCCTCAGAGGCTAATACACCTAACACTGGCACCATTCACTGCTCACAAATTCGCAACTTCTCACTTGCTGAGAGCTTGATGAGGGATAGTATCTGAACCAGAATGGGGAGGTACCAAGATCAACTAAACATAGTTTTTACAACTAAGCACTTGTACCCTCCAACTAGAAATTCCTGGTATGGCGAGCCATTTCTCAGACCTTTGGAACATCAGATATAATGAGCTGATAATAGGATACATGAAGATGAGCCAAGGGGCTCAGAAGTGAATAAAGATACTTACATATAAAATTAAAGCCTAATTTGAAATTATGAAGCTGCTCAGTCATCCAAAGCTGCTATGAAACTGACATGATCCTCTTTAAGCAAGACTAGCAAAGTTGTAAAATCCTAAAATCAGGTTTAATTCAAAAGTAAAACCAAATCTCACCTGTACATTCTTATAATCTACATGTTTCCCACATAAGACACATTTCTTAAGAGGTTCCTTATAAGGATTTTCCATTGGGAAGGGCTAGGATAAAGAAGAAAAGTGTCAAGAAACAGTTAATTTTGAAGTCAAAAAGGTATTATGTACCTGTGTGAAAATAAAACAGTGAAGCTTCTTGAAATAGTTTAGTAAAGAGGGAAGCAGGAATGAGGAAGTGACTAAGGAGTTAAGTTTGATCACGGTACACTAGATACACAAATAGACACATAAACATAAAATCCTCTTGTAAAACTGATTATGCTAATGAAATATTAAAAAAATCTTAATAGACATCCAACCAAAGGTACACTGTACCTTTCTTACTGTGTGCCTATTTTGAACAAACACTTTATTTTGTATCAATTTAAGGAGAAGTTAATTTATGGAGGATTTTAGGATAAAGATAATCGTTGCAGAAAAGGGTTTATGAGAGGAAAAAATACAAGTCTGATTTTTAAAAAGTGGTTCAAGTACTTTGTTCAGATTGTAGATGACTAAACCATTCAAATTTATTTCCATTTAACTTTAAGACAAACATGTAACATAGGTAATATGACATTTCTAAGTTAGTACAATTGCTAAAGTTTTAAGTTTAGCCATCCCATTTCTTCATCAGGTGTTTCATCATATCTTCTTTTATAAATACAAAATGTCCCATAGCTTACTGTAGTAAGAAGTCCTTCTGAGTTCAACTTTCTAGACCTATCCAGCTGTCAAAGTTTGTGTCAGCCTTCTTGGTTTTCTGCCTTCACTCTTACTTAACTTCTAATGCTTTTGTCATAGTGCCCTCCTACTACTGTCAGAAGGGCTGGCTCCAGCAGAGTTTTTGTTGTTGTTGTTTTGTTTCCTTTCTATAAGATAGCACATGACTATGAAGTCTAAGCTAGTTTAAAACTTGCAATCTTTCTGCCTCAGCCTCTGATTCCTCACAGTACAAGGATGTGCCTCCACAATTGTTAGAGGTTTAATTTAGTTATGGCTTTGAAGCCATAATTGTGTAATTTTGCCTAATTGTATTCAAAATTCCAAATGCGTGTACATGAGTACCCTTTTCTTAGAGAGGATTCAGTTTTCATTAAGTGTCTTAGGGAGATTAAGACCAAAAATAGGAGTAAACTTCTGTTGTTTTTTCATTTTGTTTTTGTTTTTGCCTGTGTTGGGGCTTAAACTCTGGGCCTAGACACTGTCCCTGAGCTTTATTTTCTCTACCACTTGAGCCACAGTGCCACTTGCAGCTTTTTTTGAGTCGTTTATTTGACTTTCCTGCCTGGGCTTGCTGTGAACAGAGATCCTCAAATCTCAGCCTCCTCAGTAGCTAGGATTACAGACAAAAGCCACTGGTGCCCAGCAGAAGTAAACTTTTTTTTTTTGTCTTGTCATGGGGCTTGAACTCTGGGGCTGAATGTTGTCCCTTAACTCTTCAGCTCAAGACTAGCACTCTACCACTTCAGCCACAGAGCCACTTCCAGCTTTTTCTGTTGAGGAATTGAACCCAGGGCCTCATGCATGCAAGGCAAGCACTCTACCACTAAGCACCTTCCCAAACCAGGGTAAACTTCTTCTAGTGTGTGAATTAGATAACTAAGAGGTCTAGGCCTTCCTAGACCTCTTTTATTTTCACCAATTCTTTCAGATTTCTTAATTTAATTTATATTCAGCTCACATGTAATTACTAACTATATTTCTTTTCAATACTTGGCTAAGTGCTTTGTATGGCATGATTAATGTCAAACCAATTATCTTTCCTGTAGTTAGAAATTTTATTCTTTCCAAATCCATGTACTTTTCCCCCATAAAAATGCACCTATAAGTAAGAAGGTGTATTAAATGTCCTGGTGTAAAACTTTAATCTCTATATTTATTAAGGCAAATTACCAAAAACAAAGACAAAATATTAGCCCTTTGCTTAGTTATCTACAATTATTCTATCCAGCCAAATGACATATACAATTACTACATCATATGTCTTTGTATATACCATCTAGGAAGAAAAAGTATCAAAGCAGCATGCTTCTTTAAAAGTTGAGAAATAAGGAAGACTAGAGGCTAGACTCCTGCTAGACTCCTCCTTACTTTAATGTTTAGTGAGTATATCCTATTTTTTTCCTATAGTTTAATCCCAAATATCTGAAATACAAGAAGTTCACCTTATGTTTTCAAGTTCCTTACTAATATAAAGAAGAAGAAAAAAAATCTTACCAGGTCCTTTCTGCTGTCCTCCTGTTTATACTGTGAACAACCTCTTCTCCATAGCACTGTAATTAAAAAGAAACAGCAATAAACCAAGTCTGTTAACTAGCAGAGCGGCCAAGAAAGATTTTGTTTTTATAGAGGCACAAAATAAAAAGTGCTATTAAGAGGTGACATTGGCAAAAAGAATTGTACTCATTACCTGACTTATGAAATGGTAAACCTTGTGTACAGCATCTTAATTATAACAAAACTATACATAGCTATACATACATTAAGGTACTATATAGTTTTTATATTCACAATGGGTGGTTTGCAGTATGCTCCTACCCATAAAACCTCTTTTATGTCCATTTCTCTTGATTCCTTGGCTACAGATTTCAATGCAGGAGAAACAATAGAAAGTCAATGTCAAGGTAAAATGAGTAAAATAAATGAATAAGTAAGACTCGCTAGATGATAGCTATTAGAGAAACACAGAAACAGATTTTAAAGGAGTTGATAGAACAGCTCGTTTACTCTCCCTTCGGCTGTAAATTACTAGCCTCACTCCACCTATCCTGCAGAAACTTAATCGTTGAGAAGCCAGCATCCTTTCTAACACTTCACCGACTGTGAGAGCCAAAGCCAGGGCTGCAGTGCTTCAAGGGAGACTTTACCCGCGTGAGTTCCGCGATCCGGGAGCGAGACCCCAGCCATCACCCAGCCTGCCAAATTCTTCCGCCCCAGACCCCAGCAAACAGTTCCTAAAGCCGCCATGGTCCGTCGCCCTTCCTCTTCCTTTCCTTTTCCCAAATCGCCACATCACGTCCCTTCCGGTCTCTTCCCCAGTTGGCCCGGGGACTCCAAGGTTCCGGGGTCGAACGCTGGGGGACGCCGCCGGCGGGAAAGCTACGCGAAGTCCTCAATGCGCATGCGTTTCCCACCCTGAAGGCACCGGAAGTCACGGAACGCTTGTGATTGGTTTAGGAGTGGGCTGTGTTAACGCTTTTACCCCTTTTCCGGTTCTTGGACGCAGGGAACTAAATTGGAGTTTGGCCGGCTGGGTCTCTGGGGATGTGTTTGGGGCCGGATTCTCGGCCCCGCCATGGATGATGGTGTCTCCCGCATCCAGCGGCGGGTGTCTATCCGCAAAAGGAACCGCACTAGTGTATCGGGCACCGAGGCCTCCCCCGCCGCGCCCCCGGCCCTGCCGCGCGAGGGGGAGGAGGAAGCGGAGGAGGAGGAGGAGGACCGGACGGTTGGGAGCCGCCGGCGGAAAACCCTGGGTGTGCGAGCTGTGGAGGTACAGCCCGTCCTGCCCCACAATCCCCGGAGAGCCCTGGCCTGGCCCCCACGCGCGGGTGGCGGGAGAGATCCAGGCCTCCCACTTGGCATGACAAGCCGTGGCGGCGGGGAGGGGGGAGACAGAAACGAACTGCTGAGGCTGCAGAATTGCAGTAGTTTTTACCCAGGTGCTGATGTTTCAGTGAAATAGTAGCTATCGCTGGTTTGGGTTCCCGCCGTTGATTGGCACTTAGCAGGTGTCTTGATTTCCCTCCTCATACTGAACGTGAACCTCGGGCATGAACATCGTGCACAGGGCAGCGTAGTGACCTGACTCAGCCCCAGAATACGAAATGATCGCTGTTCCTTAGTGTGTAGTGAGTTACGTGCTGGGCATTCTGTTAAACTACCCTGTGTTATCTCGATTTTTACAACAGTAGTCATGCCTGAGCAGTTGAGGAACTACGGTTCTGGTTCCAAACCGTTCTTAGCATTTAACTGTATTGCTATTTCGCAGTTTGCATCCCTTCTGTTTAATATATAGGCCACCCTAAGCCAGTATGCACAACATCTCAATTCCAGATTCAAAAGAGAAATTTTTTTTTTGTAGTTTCTAGTGGTACAACCATGAATTTGTCACACAGATAGGTCCTCTTTGAGTCTGAGAATAGATTGTTGCAGTTACCTACCAGAAGCTTCTAATGAGATGACATCCCAGTGGCTGTCCACCTTTCAAGGGCTAAGAACAGAATATAGGAGCCAGGAGTGTAACTCAATAGTAGACCCTGCCATCACCCCTGATAGAAGCACACATTCATCTCCCCCTGTATACTCAAGGCCAAAAATAGAATCACAATATCACTTCAACATTCCAGGAGCATTGTTGAAGCATGATCACTTCACCTTTTCAGGTTTCTATTTATCTGTAAAAAAAAAAATCTTTTTCTAAAATTATAAATATAGTGATTTGCATATAATTGTATAGTTGGTTCAGCACTAGGCTGAAGGCTTTGTTCTTAAGCTGGAATTGCCCATAAGTATTTTTATTTCCTTCTCAGCCAATCGACAGTGAAGAGGACATGTTTGGTGGCTATGATAGTTTTGTAGACAACTCCTTTGTAGTCCAACTTGATTATATGGAACAGAAATACATGAAGTTTCCTGAAAACAGGAATCATGCTACAGACTTTTCCACTGAAGATCTTTGTTCAGAAAGCGCCAAAAATAAACTAAGCATACCAACAGAAAGCAACTTTACTGAATATAAAACAGAAAGACATAGTGAAAATGAAGATGTCCCTGTAGAGCCTAGCAATGATCTTTTATATGATATGCCTTCTTCTCAAATTTTATACTTTGAAAATTTGTGGAACTCTTCAAATTATTTGCATGCTCCATCTACTAAAGAAAGGGATAGGAACTCATCTTCCAACAATACTATGAATGAAGAATTGCCCCCTGGTCATATAGAGGAACCCCAGCAAAACAACGAATTATCTTCAGAAGTCAGAACTAGCTCAGATATGAGTAGGAGAAAAAGTATTAAAGATCATCTGAAGAGTGCCATGACTGGAAACGCCACAGTCCAAACAGCAATATTTTCTAAGAGTAAACAGCTCAAAGAGACTCTCCTATCTGAAGAAATTAATGTTGCTACGAAAACAATTGAATCATCATCATATGATCTTGGTCCTTTTTATTCATTACCCAGCAAAGTGAGAGACCTTTATGTTCAGTTCAGAGGAATTGAAAAATTATATGGTAATGCTTTTGTTGGAATGAAAACAAAATTTGGGGGTTGGAGGTGTGACTCAAGTGGTAGACCACCAAGCACAAGGCCCTGAGGTTAAACCCCAGGATTGCCAAACAAAAATCTTCCATCAACAGAAGCAGGTGTTTCCAGTCATATATCTCATCTTGAAAAATCAAAGCGGCAGTTGTCTTTCCCCCTTCTATTCCCTGTTCTGCCACTACTGAACCTCTTTCCTAGTCATCCTCAAACCAGTTACTCTTGCTCTTTTTATTTTCATAAGTAATAATTCAGCACACCCCAATTCTGAGTTCTGTGCTCCCTCTTAAGATATGACTAGGAAAAAACAAAGATGTAATAACTAGGATGTGTAAATCCAAGGTTACTTCTTTCCTGACTTCTCGGTAGTTTATCTGCTGCCATGACCATACCGTTATTACACATCTTGACATACCTGCTTATGTTCATTTTCCTCTGAGGTAGCTGTTTCACAGTTTTCGTTTGGCTCTGTCTTCTCTGCCAAAATTTAGTTTTACTCCATTGAATGTTGGAATATCTTGAGTGAAAGAAGTCAACAGTACCATTAAACTTTACCATTTCTAAAGACACCTGAAGTTACTATTTAAGTGCAGAGAAATGTTTTTCTTTTCTTTTTTTTTTTTTCCTTTGGGTCCGGTTGTGGGGCCTGAACTCCGGGCCTGGGCACTGTCCCTCAGCTCTTCAGCTCAAGGCTAGCGCTCTACCACTTAAGCCACAGCGCCACTTCCGGCTTTTTTCTTTTTGCTTATGTGGTACTGAGGAATCGAACCCAGGGCCTCATGCATGCAAGGCAAGCACTCTACCACTGAGCCACCTTCCCAGCCCCAAAATAAGCGTTTTTCAAAACTGGATCCTTGCATATATTTCAATGTCACTTTAAAGAAGTGCTCTTCTGGGAGATCAGCCCATCAAGCATTTACTTCATAAGTATTTCTGGAACTCCGTTTAGGATCTTATGAACTAACTGGTTCTCAACTTAGGGAGAAGAGAGGTTGAAGAAGTAGGACTTTAGGAAACAAAGTCTACTACCAGACTACAAGCAGAGGTTCATGGTTTAAGAGGTAACAGTCTGTTGCACTTCAAGTAAATAGTAATTTTTTTACCTTTATTTTTCTCCTAGCACCTTGTTCTTTGTTTAATTTTCATTTCTTGCCAAAGTGAATTCCCTGAGAATAAGGTGCTAACAAGGTGTAACTGGCACTGTGCATTGGACCTGTGGTAGGTTTTCAACTGTTGGAAGCTGTCAGCCTCCTTATGAATTCTGGCCTTGTTGCTTAAACAGTAATGCATCTATTAAAAAAAAAAAAAAAAGAGAGCCAATTTTGCAAATTAATCTTGCAAAGTAAACTCTTTAAAATGTCAAAGTAAGTAGTGGTAATGACTGTCAATTACATTGGTTCTACGTAAAAATTTCAGTAAAGAACTGTGTGTGTGTGTGTGTGTGTGTGTGTGTGTGTGTGTGTATACATATGAGTGTGTGCGCACTGTGTGTGTGTGTGTACATATGAGTGTGTGCGCACCTGGACTTGAAATCAGGGCCTGGGTCCTATCTCTAACCTTTCTGTCTCAAGGCTAGGCCTCTACCACTTGAGCCACAGCTCTGCTTCTAGCTTTCTGGTGGTTGATGGGAGTTAAGAGTCTCATGGACGTCCTGCTCCTGCTTGTTCCAAATGGTGATCCTCAGACCTCAGTCTCCAAAGTAACTAGGAGACCTTGAGCCACCAATGCCTGGCTAAAACGCACTTTGAAAATTTTTATTTTATATAAATCTGTCTTAATAACATGAAAAATTTAAAGCATAAGTAAATTTAAATTTAAAGCATCAGTGTTCTAAAGCAGTGCTGTTGTTGTTTTTAATAGCATACATCAGTTGTACTAATAGGAAGGAGGCTTATTGTGACATTTCCATGCATCTTTACAATCCCACTTAACCTCACCCCTTGTACCTTACCTCTTCCTCTTTCTTAAAATGTCAGTGGGTTTCATTGTTCTATTTTTATACATGTAAGCAAACTCCTTTGGGTATATTCATACTCATTCAACCTCTTGTTGGCTTAGCCTCCTCTTGCTGGACCTTTCTCCGAACAGGAACCTGTTTTACTTTCCTGTGCTCCTCCTTTGTCGTCATCATTGGGCCAGAATTCTGGGCCTGGGTGCTGTCCCTAAGCTCTTAAGCTCAAGGTGAGCACTTTACCACTTATAGAACCCAGGGCCTCATGCATGCAAGGCAAGCACTCTACCACTGAGCCACCTTCCCAGCCCTCACTCCTATAATTCTAACTGAGGGTCGAGGCTGAGATCTGAGGGTCGAGGTTCACAGCCAGCCCGGAAAACTGGAAGTGGTCCTGTGGCTCAAGTGCTAGAGCACTAGCCTTGAGCTGAATAGTTGAAGGACAAACACCCAGACCCAGAGTTCAAGCCCCACTTCCAACAAAAAAACAAACAGTGAAATCATTCATAAATGTCATTCAGTTATTTTCATTTTTTTAAATGTTCAGGCCCAACACTTTGATGCATAATTATTTTCAAATACTTAGGCATAAGTGGCTTCATAATTCAACACATTTATGAGCTTTTTTTTTTTTTTTTGTCAGTCATGGGACTTGAACTCTGGGCCTGGGTGTTGTCCCTTAGCTCACTCCCTCACAGTATTATACTAATTCCCACACCATGTCTTAGATATTACCCATTTTCATCAATACTACCTTGCTAAATGTTGGTAACCCTACATATATAAGTTAATTCTCCTTTTATGCTTTAGTCTTAATCTGAAATGGTATTCAACCATTCAAAATTCAGGTCTGCAAGAGAGCTAATTGAAGTTAGTA